ACCATCGAATCCCAGAGGCGCAGCCCGAGCGCCGTCGCCTCGACCACACTTGTCCGTATCTTCTCTCGCTTTCCGGACAAAGGGCGGCCGAGGGACTCCGTGTCCGGCGGAAACTACGAGGTTTACAGCGCCGGATCCGAGCTGCCGCCAAGTTTCGTGATTGTTGTAATCGATACGGGTTCGTTTGACAGGTGCGTGCGTGAGTGCGTGTTCGTCAGGGAGGAATGGAGGGAACGAGAGAGAGAAATGGAGGGGGGGGCGAGAAAACGAGCGAGTGAGTTGAGTGGAGCGAGAGGAAAACAAGTGGAGAGAGAGTGGAGAAACAGTCCTTGAAAGAGGCAATCACTCCCAATATGCTGGACCATAAAGGTGCATTTCCTTTCCCTCTTCTACCCCCCCCCCTCTCCCCGTTATCCCTCTCCTGTCGTAACCTCGGATATTCGTCGCTAAGATATTCGGCTGACCGTTACTTGATTTGTTGTTGATAGCATGAAGGTGCATTTGCCAGCTGTGTCTCTGGTTTGCCTGAACACGGAAAGGGAAGGGAGGAGGAGACGAGAAGGAGAAGAATAAGCAAAGGGCAAGAGGGGTAGGAAGGAGAGAGGGAGAGGGAGGGAGAGAGGGAGAGGGAGGGAGAGAGAGAGAGAGAGAGAGAGAGAGAGAGAGAGAGAGGAGAGAGAGAGAGAGAGAGAGAGAGAGAGAGAGAGAGAGAGAGAGAGGGACGGAGGAGGAGGGAGGGGGGAATGTAAGATGGGTATTTTCGTCCATTTTGGGTTTGCGTGCCCGTCTATTTCCAGAAGCGGCTCACTCAAGGCGCTCTTTCCTCCAAACAGCCTCGCCTGCTTCCCCAGCCACATTCAAGCAGGAGTGACCATCTCAAACAGAAAGCAGCTAAGGCGTAGAAACCTGAGTGCTTGGGGGTAGTTTCAGTTTCACTCATGTCAATGTCTGTGTCCTCAGTGGCAAATGTGTGGGTGGATACGCCGGGGGTGGGGGGGGAAGGAGAAGAAAATTATAAGGCAGGGAGAAGGAGACAGTGAGAGAGGAATGACAGAGATGTAATGGCAGGGAAAAAGGAAGAAAGGGGACAAGGATTAATGGATGAATGGAAAGAAAGAAGAGTGGATGGATGGATGGATGGGGAGAGAGAGGAAGGGAGGGAGGTCAAGATGGAGCCATATTATGGTTGGCAATGTTTGCGTGTGGGAAGGTGGGAAGGGAGAGGGAGAGGGGAGGGGAGAAGAGAGGGAAATATTCATCTTGTGCGTAGGGTTCTTCCTCACCTCGACACTTCCCTCAACTTTCGGGTTTCTCCATCTCTTTTTTCGTCTCCTCCCACATTTCTCTTCCTTCTGTTATCTGTATCATTACCGTCCTCCCTTGCTCTATTGTTTTATTCTATTTTCTATGTTATTGTCTCCCCATCTCCGTTTTGGTGAAGTAGAGAACCAGGTTGTTTTAGTTCCTGGCGGCCGGACCGTGTAGCGACAGGTAATCTGGTGTGTGTTTGTCTGTCTTTATGGGCGCACGCCTGTGTGCCTGTCAGTGCCTGTATGTGTATCTGTGTCTGTCTGTAGCTGTTTCGGTCTTTATTTTACATCTGTTGTTTACGCAGGAAGAATTCACCCCATAGGCCTACGGAGAGCGATTGTCTCGATTGCCGAGCTCGCTGATCGCTTCGGCTGCGAGAGGACTTCCGGGGTTGAGGGGAAAGAGCGAAGAGTGGAAAGCAGGGCAGGTTAGAGTTCCGTGTGGAGGAGAGCAAGAGAAATCAAAAGATGGGAAAGTAAAGAGGCGGATGACGGAACATTACGTAAGAAGATCTGAAGGAATACTGAAGCAAAGGCTAGAGCAGAGGACGTTGTAGGGGATTACGTTCCGTACGTACCATGGCTACGGTCTTGCGGTCGGCGCTAAGCCTACCTGGGCGCCCCCGCCTCGCAGCGCCGCCTCTGGTTGGAGGCGTCTGGGCGAATGGAGACTAGTACAAATATACAGTACAATTATTTACTGCTTCCTCACGCATCCGTACGTAAACTTAGAAAGGCAGACATAGGTACACAGGCTCTCGTGACTGACAATTTTTTATTGTATTGTATTGTAAATGTTCAACAGTCATGAAAATATCCAGAGGAAGAAGTGTATTGGTTGAGGAAGGGAATGCTTAAAGGAGCGAAGTTGGTTAGCTCTGAAAATATGAGATGGGGAGGTAAGGGAAGAGGAAAGCAGGAACGCAAGCATAAGAGCATAAGAATAGCTTGAATAGATCGTGGGAAGGATAAAAAGGTGATATACATCTTCATAATAATATTCTTTTTCATGCAAGGTATTTAGGTTAGTGAGGATTTCTTCGTATTTTTTGCTATTTCTTATTTCATTGGCTTCTCTCTCTCTCTCTCTCTCTCTCTCTCTCTCTCTCTCTCTCTCTCTCTCTCTCTCTCTCTCTCTCTCTCTCTCTCTCTCTCTCTCTCTCTCTCCTTCCTGCTCTCCCTCCTTTCCCTCCCACTCCCATCCCCCATCCCCCTTCCCCATTCCCCCTTCCCCCTTCCCCCTTCCCCCTTCCCCCCTCCCTCTTTTTTCTCTTCCCCACTCGTCTCTTCGCTCGCCCCTTCCACTTTATTACGGCA